TTCAGGGAACTAAATTATAGTGACTAGTTATGAATTAAAATTTCTTTTCTTTTTTTAATTAATAAAAAAAAAATAATAATTTCATCGATTTTCAATCATAAAATTTTTTTAACATTAACTAGAGTAGTGAGTAATAGATCAATAATCACCAACATCACCTTTTTTAATATACAGGAAAAAAACCAAATATGTATAATTCTAATTTTTATTATAAAAATAAATAAATAGATATATATATATATACATAAATGAAATAAACATACTATGAAGAATAATTTTTTAACCTTTTGATTTCTAAAGAAAATTCATTATAAATTTAATAATATAATGATAATATGATTATGTATGAATGCAATATTAAAAACTCACTTAGTGGAAGTGAAATTACATGCTCAAACCAAGTCCCATTTTTGAAAATACTTTTGTTTATTGAGGTACTGTTTGTTGTAGAAGGAATTTCATTTAAAATGCCTGATATATAAACAATCTTATTTGTTGATCCAATTTCTATGATCACATCTTCTGGATTTTTACTGTGGGAACATTTTGCTATAATGATATATTCATCTCTATTTCAAATAAAAAAATAATTTAATTTTTTATAAATTAATGTAGAGAATGTTACTTGGTTTTATATAATAATACTAATAATACCCATGATCAAAAAACACCATGATTTTTATCATCCTCAAAAATTATTTTATTGTCATTACTGTTATCACCAGTGTTACTACTAATATTATTATTATCTAAAGATTAGTGCTGTAAATTATGATGATGGTAGTAATTGTATTTATGGCATATAAAAAGTGGTTGCAATTACCTTTGCGACCACTTTTGCAACCATACTTTTTTCTTTTTTGGATTACAATACTAGTCTTTATTATTATCAGTACCAATACTACTACTATCATTGTTGTTATTGACACTACTGCCACTATTACTGTCATCAATATTGCTATTATCATTGTTATAAATGATTTTAGACTGAAGTTTAAATAGAATTATCAATTTTAAAATCATTTGTTTTTGTAAAATTCCAAATTATATTTTTCAATTATTATTAATAGATTTTTTTCTCTGTCTTGCTGAATATCCTTTCTAGGAAAACAGATTTCTATTAGATGTGCATATAAAATAAAATAAAATTTTTTAAATTATAATAACTTATAATCAATTTGTTTATCTTTCACAAAGCTCACTAATATTATATTTACCATAAAATAAAAAACTACAATCAACAATAAATTATTTATTTTCCACTTCCAATTCTCCTCAAATAATGACATTATTATTATTAATAAGTGCTGCAAATAAAATATTAAAAATATTAATATACATAAATTAATTTTATATTCTCAAAGAAAAAATGAAATTGATAATAAATATTAACTATTACAATTATTTTTATCTTTGTTATCAGCATTAATGTTATCATCACCAATCAATGAAACTACTACTACATTAAATAACAATGGAAAATACTTTAACAAAATTAAAATTATTATAATTATTATTAAATTAAGTGATTACTGACACCCATAAAGTTATAATATTAATAATTTTGATCAATAAAGTATAATTTGATTATAAAACAAATTTTAAATAATCCTATTTATATTTAATATTAACACTTACTACACATTAATATTGTTTTATCCCCCCTTCCATATTATTAATAGATTGTCATGCTTCATTATTTTCAGATTCTATATTTAATAATAATAAAATTTATTATTAATTTATTAATTTATTAAATTGATGGTAATTAATAATATTAAATCCAATATATTAAAATATTTTTTCTTTGTAACCTTTTAGAAACTCCAATTAAATATTGTGTTTTCATATTGTCTAATAATTATCAATATAAGCAAAAGCTAAACTATTGGTAAAACAATAATGCAAAAAAAATTGTTGTAAAGTTCTTGATAACTTAATAAAAAGGTTTTTTGCTTTTAACCTCCCAAAGAAACTCACAAACCCATATATTCTCTGAAAGCTCTCAATGTAATCATTATATTCCTAAATATATATAATAAATATTAATTGAAAATATAAAAATATATACAAAAGTAAATATTGTATATACACAATTGTTTTTTTTGTGAATCTCCCTAAAACTTATTAACCAACACTTTGTAAAATATACTTTGTCAATTATTCAATAGTTCTTTGCCTATTACTATCACCATATATTTTTGTATCTCACTAAGTACTTGATCAAATTAAGTGATCCTAGATTCAAAAGAATTCTATTTTCAAAAATTATTTATAGCAATGTTATTTAATATTGATTTTAAATCACAATTCATTGACATGTTTTGATAATCTAATTATTCTAATTGTTATTATTTATATAGGAATAAATGTAAAAGAAAAATTTTAATTTATTGTTAAAATAAATACCTAGCTAGGTGAACAAAATTAAGTATTCATAATAATGTAATTATTTGGACATGTATTTCTACTTTTGGACGCGCTAAACAAATTTCTATATATGTGAATATAAAGGCAAAATTTGACTTTGAGGGTCAGATTATTTTTGGTTTATTAACAAATTTTTCTTAAAGCAGATACATATAATAAAGAGGCTATATATTAGATTTGGTGGTGGTTTCTATACGGTATCAAGCAAGAATGTAAGATCGAATTTGATTATCATCTACTATAGATCTGCGGTGGCTATTTAATTCCAGTAATTTTTTTCAATAGAAATAATAAATAACGTTTATATAATATGTAATAGTAACAAGTTTTGTAGTCGAGGATGTGCAAAACGGTCCCGTTTACTTCGTCGAAAATTATTTCGTCGGCTTATGTATCGTACTAATGATAAATGAGGTGATGATAGTGATGGCAACAATATC